CTGCCAGCGCCGCGCCGGGCCCGCCCGGTTGTGCTGGCTGTCGAGGTCCGCTCGGCTCCCGGCTAGGGGCCGGCGAGCAGGGCCTGCCTCCGTTGCCTGCGGAGGGCGCCGCCGGCTGAGGCGTCTGGGAAGCGGGTGGTACCGCCTGCCCGCCGCGTCTGGGCGGAAAGGTGCTCGGTCGGGCTCCGCTCACAGCAGTGATGCCACTCGTCGGCGCCGGGCCTTTCCCGGCGCCCTCCTGTTCTCTTCAAGTGGGCTTGTCACTGCCGACATCCGTCAGTCCACTGGAATTTAATTTTGTACGTTCCGTGGGTTATTTTTGTCCCGTTTGCAAACTTCTGTCTTACTGAGCTACCGAATTTATCCATCTCCCTTTCTTTGTCAGTGAACATCTTTCTTTTGTGCTTTCTTTTTCAGCAAAATTTTTTTCAAATATTTTTTCAAAATAGAGGATATTTTGCGCTTTCTTAAGGAAAGGGCCCCTAAAAACCTTGCGCTACCAGTCAGCTGCATTTATGACTCTCACGGAAACTATTCACTGCATAACTCCACGTGCTTTTACAGTTAATTACAGCGTTTGCCACTGTGTTTTGTTGTCCTTGCAATTTTACTTGCATTCTCTCATGCTTAAACTGTGAACTCTTCTAAGCAAGGCCCAAATGTGTGATTATGCATAAAGCACATTCATTATGCAGCAGGTTCTCTGTGTACTTTTCACTGTAGTTGGATATACTGGTGGTTAGTGCATCCAGTACTCAAATCACTTATTCGAGGAAGGTGGTGGAAAGACGGTAGTCTGTGTGGGGCAATTACTAAGACATGCAGTCCAAGTAAACTGGGATATCCTGATTGCTCCATATCTCTTACAGATCACTCTTGAGCAGCCTTCAATCTTATTTTCATTAGAATGCATGTCTTGATGATATTATATCTTAGAGGAAGACGCACAAGTTTTTAAGGAAGAGCGTTTCTCAGTGTTCCTGTTCTTCCTAAGAGGAGCCTGTTGGATTTGGAGTTCTGAGTAGTACTATGGAAAGGCCAAAAAAATAAAGAAGGAAGTTTTCATCTACTGCCATTATTTTCTGGATAAGTGGCAAGTATTTTATATTCTGGTTTTGGCAATAGGAAGGTTGGTGTTCTGCATTTGAAACTGGAGTGCTGTCTTCTAGGTGCTACTGTAAACAGGAAGGTTAAACCTCATGTTGTTATTCTGTAATTCTGCTGCATCTTTCTGTTGCCTCTTAACTTCTAAAATTGGGAATAGATGAAGCATATGCTTTTGAATTTGAACTTGTGGCTGAAATATTTTTGGCAATGGTTATATAAGAAGTTTTAGCTACAAACCTCCCAGTTTCCTTTTGAAAGATTTTCTAAGGACAAAATCATATGAATTGTTATTAGACATAAAAGCTTCAGGGCTTTTTACAAACTTCCAGCTGCGTCACCCACTTAGTGGATGAAGGGAAGTATGGTGGATGTCAGTTTTCTGGATTTTCATAAGTCTTTTGATATTGTCCCTCACAGCATCCTTCTGCACAAGTTGTCCAACTGTGAGATGAACAGGTACATGGTGTGCTGGGTGATGAACTGGCTGAAGGGCAGAATTCAAAAGGTCGTAGTGAATGGGGCTACATCTGGAAGGCAGCCAGCCACCAGTGGTGTTCCTCAGGGCTCAGTTCTAGGGCCAGTTCTGTTCAATATTTTTATCACTGATGTACAGGCAGGAGTTGAAAGCACCATTAGTAAATTTGCTGATGATACTAAACTGGGAGGTGCAGGTGGCCATCACGAGTGACAGGAGGCCTTGCAGAGGGATCAAGACAGATTGGAGCACTGGGCAATGATTAATGGGACGAAATTTAACAAGTCTGAATGCTGGATTGTGCACCTGTGATGGAGTGACGCTGGGCACAAGTATACATTGGCAGACGAGTGGCTGGGGAGTAGCCCTGCAGAAAGGGATCTGGGGATGCTGGTTGATGGTGAGCTCAATATGAGTCAGCAGCGTGCCCTGGCAGCACAGAGGGGCACACCTCTGCATCGTGGGGTGCATCAAACACAGCATACCCAGCCGGTCAAAAGAGGTGATCATCCTGCTTTATTTAGAGTTGGTGCAGCCCCACCTTGAATATGAATACTGTGTGCAGTTCTGGGCACCACAATTTAAAAACAATGTTCAGGTACTTGAATGCGTCCAGAGGAGGGCGACCAAGCTGGTGGAAGAGCTGGAAGGCATGTCCTGTGAGGAACAGCTGACGACTTCTGGTTTGTCTAGTTTGGAGAAAAGGAGGCTGAGGGGTGACCCCATTGCTCTCTACAGCTTCCTGAGGAGGGGAAGAGGAGAGGGACATGCTGAGCTCTTCTCCTGGGATCCAGTGACAGGATGCCTGGGAATGGCTCAAAGCTGCACCAGGGGAGGTTCAGACTGGGCATTAGGAAGCATTTCTTTACTGAGAGGGTGGTCAAACCCTGGAACAGGCTTCCTAGAAAGGTGGTCGATGCCCCAAGCTTGTCAGTGTTTAAGAGGCATTTGGACAATGTCCTTAATAACATGCTTTAACTTTTGATCAGCCCTGAATTGGTCAGGCAGGTGGTTGGACTAGATGGTCATTTTAGATCACTTCCAACTGAAATACACTATTGTATTCTAGCTTAATATATACACCTTCTTCAACTTCTTTTATTCAGAGGAAACATCTGTAATTTAAAAAAAAAAAAATAGTGATTTTCAAGTTCTGGTAATGACTTTACCTGGAAAATCTAGCTACTCTCTGTTGAGATACCTTTAGCCAAAGCTTTGCCTGATTCAGGAAGGTAGCAATCTCTTCCTTTATCAATTTTGTACATTCTGATAAAGTATGACTTTTCTTATTTTCAGAGCCATGTGACTTTATTTGAAGATGGTGCCCTGAAAATACATTTTCAAGAAAATCTTGTGCAAGCTGATACAACTTTGCTAATGTGGCTAACACATATTTTGTCTCCATATAGGAGATGAATTTTGTTGGCAATGATTACGTAAACTATAGCAATCTCCTGTTGACCGTCTCAAGTGACACTGCTGATGATGCAATTTCTGTCAGGGAAAAAAAAAATCTTTATTTAATTTCTGGCTTTGTATGGGGACTTGTTTGAACAACCTCATTATACAGGTTGGGCTACTTGCACCTCTCCTTCTCCTGGTACACTAAGAAGCTTAGTTTGGGACGTATTGTTGGTAGTTGTGACAACTGAAATGGACAATCATAGAGTGGCAGAGGCTGGCAGGCAGCTCTGGAGATTGTCTAGTCCAATTCCCTGCTTATGGCAGGGTCACCTACAGCAGGTTGCTCAGCTCTTGTCCAGTTAGGTTTTGAATATCTGTTAATGATGTAGATTCTACAGTCTCTCTGGGCTGTGTTTTACCACTCTCACAGTAAGGAAGTATTTTTTTTTCTCTTGATGTTGTTACTGTTTTTTGGTTTTCTCCGATCACATTGGTGAAAAAAGTTTTTATTGTAGTGAAGCCTTAGTCTTTTCTAGAATACCTTGGACTGAAGGTCTTTCTTGCACAGACTTGTTTTGCTGCAGTAGCTAATTCTGCCAATTACAATAGAAGTTTTTGGCTTTTATGGGTTTTTATTCTGGTATATATCTAACTCCTTTTATAACAGAAGATTTGCAAAGAATAAAGTATGTAGCACCAAGATCATACGGCAGATCCATCAGAGCTATCAATAAGAAAATGGAGACACAGTGATGCCTTATTCAGTCTACCAGTCTTTACTGTCTTTTTTACTTCTTAGTTTTGATGCTTACATAAAATACCTTGTGTGTGTGATTACCCTTCATGATGCATAGAAAGGCTAAAGTTACAATTCATACATCCTTTTGGTTTTTCTCCCTATTACTCTGTCTGGAGACTTTTCATTTTTTAACTTAAAGCCTATTACAGATAAAGGTCTTATTCCATGCTTTTGTAAGAAGTGCATGCTCTTAAATCTTCAGTCTTTCTGAGGTGATGAGAAAACAGGTGTAGCAGTTGAGGTGAAATAGCTTTTCTTTTTAGAGAAAAGTGTGCTACATAATTTGCCATGCTAAGTCATCCAAAATATGTTTCAGTGTGAATTGTGTATTATGATTTTAATATAAAACAAATTTCTAGAAAGTTATTTATAAGCCTTTTGGAGGATGATTACTGATTGTCTGTCATGGGTGTGAAATCTGTAGCTCATGCATGCCTTTTGCAGAAGAAAGGCTCAGTTAACTTCAACTAATAACTTTGAGAGTACTTTTTGTAACAGACATAGCTCATAGTTCAGGAAAAATGAATTTAGTTTAAAAAAAAAAGCATTAAGGGAGAATGTGAATTAAGTATACCGTGTTTTGTAGCACAAGGTGTGAGAAAACTTTAGGATGGAACTTTCCTAACCCTGGGTCAAGTGTGGGACAGATAAAACTTAGTTCTGTCACACAGGCTGTTACTGAACTCTTCCATGATGTTTTTGCTGAGCTGTGAGTGTTTCCCGTAACTTATCCACCTATTTGAAAGTAGTCTGCCTTTGCAACTATTGAGCAAGAAAATCTGAGTTCCATTTTTGAGAAGGCATGTACTGTCCCGTAAGTAAGATTTGTCTGCAGGTTGAGGTGATAGGAGAGCTGCAGTTTCCTTGGCACATACTTCTCAGAGTCCTCTAAAATAATGGTGAAGGTGAAGACTGATGAGTTGAGGAAGTTGTCTTATTGTAGAGTTTACTAACAGTAAAAAGGTTCTAGTAGAAACACTTTACCTAAAATGACAGGGTGATTAGCAATTACTACTTTATTGAACTGATCTTGTTTAAAGTGTTTGTGGTTTGCTGCAAGTGTATTACCTTACACCTGGACAAATTAGGATAGTGTAATATAGCTTGTTTGTTCTCCTCTTATATAGGTGGAAGTGACTACAGGAAAATGTCATTTTGTGCTAAGATTTCTTTTTAGCATTTAGAGACATTTATATGTTAAGCTTGCAGTTTGCAATGACTATACCATATATGATGTGTGTAATCATGATAGAAATTCTATACATGTATTGTGAGTCCCGGTCAATCTTTTATTAATCTAAGTAATTATGTTAGGCCAGTGTTGCTATATTTGTCAGTCTTAGTTTAAGAAAATGTACTGCTGATTATGCTCCTAGAGTGGGACTTTACTCATGGCACTAATACAGCATGGATTTATCCCAGCCTCTTATAAGTTTCTTGAATTTGCATGGAGTGGAATCATCTAACAGTAGAATGAGGAAGTCTTGAACTTTTTGGAAAGCATTTGCAGACTTGATGAATAGCACTAGCTTCTTTGTGTGATTATTAGCACTGAAAAGCCATCTTGTTTGAGGAAAAAAAAAATCTATTTTCTTTTTGTTTTGCTAGGTTTTGCCAAGGGAGTGTGTTTTTTTTCACTCTGGTACAGTCTAAGGACAGAGTAGGTTGTTTCAGGCTGCATTTAAATCTCCTTTGTTCAGGACTTCCATAAAAGAAGGTGAACATTATTTAGAGGCTGTTTAAGTTAGATCAGCGTATAAGCAGTCATTATCCTGCAAATCCTACAACACTATGTTCTACACAGAAAATACATGGAAAGATCCTTGGAAAAAATATCTTTACACAATTATTATGCTAAATTAATGTTCTGGATGGAGTTAAGGACAAGTATTGCTGTGACCCTTTTACTTGGTATCAGATTCAGGTAAGAATTGTTTGAACCGTTTTATTGCTTGAAAGAAGTTTGCCTCTTCTAACTGAAGTAGCATTTGACAATGAAAATACCGCAGTTTCTGAAGATATACTCTATCAATGTGTTGATGCAATCAATGACTTGTCAAGACTTTGTAAAAATGAAAATTCTTGTAAAGGTACCTTTGCCTATTGCTTTTTGCTTTTAATGATTCTTCTGCCACTGTTTGGTGCAGACGTGTTCAGAAGAGGTTTGTGTATGATAACACCAGATGAGCATTCAAAAAACCTTAGGGCTATGTAATAGAGAATACGTTTTTGTACAAGGAAGTTCTGGGATCTAAGCTAATGTTTAACTGCCTGAGATGACTGAGATTTTGAAATTTTTGTCAGCAGTCAGTTTTAGAATTGTATCCCCCTTGCCCCCCCCAAATGAGGTTACATATTATGTAGTAACAGGTTTTTACCTTACTCTGTGGGGTTTTTTAACCCTTCCCACCCTCCAAGGCCATTGCACTGGATGTTCTTGAAAGTTGACCTGTTGTTTTGCTTCAGTTCTCATTTTATTAACATACTTTCTGCTTTTTTTTTTACACCAACGTTTCTTAGTTTCTCTTAGCTCTTCTCTTAGTTTAACAGTCATCTTATCTATGCTGTCTCTGACGTTAGTTAGGTAATACCTGTTCATATTTGCTTGTGGATTCTTCTACTGCTGTTAGCAGTATTTGAGGAAGGATTGGGACTGAATATATAGAAGTTTAACATTAACTTTTTATGTACTTTTAAATCCATTTTCATAACTTTATCTTATTAGACCCCAAGGTATCCGTAGTAACTACAAAAATAAAAATTATTGCTCTTAAGTTCATGAGAGGCATAGAGAGTGGTACTGACTTTAAGGAAATTTGGATTTTGTCCTAGGTTTTCTTCCTAACGGTCACAGAGTAAAAGATTTTAAGTTAGTTTTTGTTAACACTCATGACACTGCTCTAGTGTCATAGTTATGAACATACATGCATGTTGCATAAGCATCTCCAGTATTCTTTTAGCTTTAGTCTTTTGACTAATCTGTATACAGAGAAAGTTTTTGTGTCACAAGTAATTCTTTTATCCCTTCTTCAACAGCATTTGTTCAAATTCAGAAATTTGTGCCAGCCTTGTGATAAGATTTTTTTGCATTATCTGCAATCTGGACATTTGCTGTTACTGTCTTAGGTTATTCTTGACTCACACTCACAGCTCACTTTCCTTTTTAACCCATTAAGCAAAGAAATTAAAGTCTATAGTGAGATTGACATAAATATTGGCTATACAAATAGAATGAACTGCCTCTCCTTCATTTCCTATTTTATTTGTGTTCGGAATTCTTTCGAGTCTGCTAGAATATCTGGGAGTGCTTGTCCTAGAGCCAATTGCTTAGCTTCTACTGTAGTAAAAACAAAACAAAAGAAGTGGTATGTGTGAAACAACCATATTGTTCATCACACTTTCCTCTTAAAGCTTTAAAATTTTCTCATACTTGGTGCTTTGAAGTATACAGCTTCTTTCTATATTGAGGACTAAAGGCCAGATGAAAAGAAGGAAGAAAATGGAAGGAACTTTGTCGTGAACCAATAGGTGAAATTTGCTTCTTTGTTATTAGCCTTAGCTTTAAACAATAAAGGTAGGTACTTTAAGTTGTGCTAAAGCACTTAAATGCCTGGCACAACAGTTGCTGCTCTTTCAAATCATAATGTAGGGCAGAGGAAATGATCATGCTCATTATTTCTTTTTATAATACCGAAGTTGGAGCACTTTGTATTTTATACCCTTCCCATCCTAACAAGGTTACATTGGCTTCTCAGTTCCAAAAGGAGGTCTCTTTCACTGGACTATAGTCTAAACCAAGACTGGATGCCGCTGTGTGTTCTTTCAAAGCTGCCCTGGTGTGAAACGGTGAAGATATGCTTCAGATAGATATTTAATAGAAAAATATTAAATTTAATATTTAAATATTAAATATAAAAGATATTTAATATGCTTTGTTTCCAAGAAGCATATTAAAAAAAATTATTTAAGCACACCAGAGTTCAGGACAGAAACTGAAGCTGAGAGTCTCGATGTCATATTTGACATCTGTTACAAGGTGGTTAAAGTGGTGCCTCAGAGTTGATTATGCACAGTATGGTAATAGTATAATATATTATACATAGTATCATAGTACATACTATAGTACCATATGTTATACATAAATAATCTTTTTTTATTATTAGCTCTGAAATATCCAGTATTGAACTTCCTGAATGTTGTAGGCACCTTTACTAGGCGCACCTAGCTTGGATTTGTAAATTCTCGAGTTCCTAAAAGGAAGGGCTACTGCCACCTCTGAGTTTAGCACCGAATGCCTAGAAAGCATATTCTTTTTATTTTAAGTCCAATAGCTTTCATGTAGCTGCTGTTTGCTAGTATACTGTAGCTGAAAGTGACTCTGTCAGCATTTTGTAAAGACGGCTTTGCATAGTTTTTGCTGAGTGGCTAGTGGTCCAAGTTCCCGATCCTAAAAGACTTGAGCAAGGTATATTCGATGCATATAGGAATACTTCTGCAAAGCCAAATGGAGCAGTCTAGTGTGCGTGGGGCTCACATGGGACCCAGGCCCACACGGAGAAGCCACGGAAAGTAGGAAAAGCTGATGCAGTCTGTTCATCTACGATAAGCACTGTGTTTAATCCTGAAATGTGAATTACTTCTGCTTCCTTCCATGTTTTGTGAAGCATACAAGACATTGATTCTACAAGTTCTTTCTTATTCCAAAGTGTAATTATAAATATTTTTGACTTGATAGTATAAAAGACTTCACAAATGATAATGAAAAGTTTCAGTGTCACCCATGACTGGTGTTACGTCTTTGCTAAACCTTTGTTGAATTTCTCTTTGATTTGATCTGCTGTTCTATAGAGATGCATAAAACACATAGAGAATATGTGGCAAGACAATTTTTTTCTCATTGTAGGATCTGCTAGAAGTATGCTTTTGCATGTATTTTTACCTGGCTCTTGCATTTAGCTGCCAAGTCCCTGTATAGGCTTTTTGTATTCACTACAGTAATTCCATACAAAACTACAGATGACATTTTTATTGGCCTTAATCATTTCGTTTAAACTCTTGACACTTAGAATTCTCTGACCTCTGAATTTCATAGAGCTAAGTGTGTACACTTTACATACACTATAAGTTTTTTAAATTTATGATAAGTATCAATATAGCTGTATTTTAAGGGATAGTTTTCTTGTGTTGTTGGAATAGAAAACAAAGAAGAACTTAGAGAAATGTTTTAAAATACATTTCAGGCTCAGAAGGCAACACAGAAAAACTCGAAGATACGGAGTTTTGGATACAAACATAGAAAATATGGAGCTGACCCCGTTAGATCAAGATGATGATGATGATACAACACTATTTGATGCCAATCATCCTCGAAGGTTTGTATATAGAAGCCAAATGTACTTCTAGCAATAAAAGTGAAGGAGTATGGATGATAAGCATCTTCACTGAGAAGGCTCACTACTGTGTTTCATATGCATGTAGTTGGAGAAGGGATGTCAAGATCACTTGAATTTTAAATGGGCAAGAATTTAGTGGGCAAGAAGATAAACACCATTTGTCTTCAGCATGTGAGTTCCAGAGAAATGGAGAGGAAGGTAGGATAATTTTGTTACAAATACAGTGTCATTATTGAAGCTTATGTTAAAGTTGACAACTATCTCTTACCTCTTTTCTTTTTATTTTTTATTTTGGAGATTCCTCAATTTTTCCTGTTTATTCTGTCCTATGAGTTTGTCTTCTAGCAGCTTCATTCTGCTTTCTCATTGCTAAAGTAGTCAGCAGTTAGTTGATGATGATCCTGCACCAAGTTTTAGATTTGGTACTGCTGCATAGAAAGGTTCATATTCTTAAGTCACTCTCTGAAACTATATATAGATACAGGAAAATTTTCTTGTATTTCGTTATTGTCCTTACACTTAAACATTATGATCAATTTAAACTTATGCAATTCAAACTTAAAAAAAAAGTCTTCTTACTGAGTAATGCCATCACACTACACATGCAAAGACATAGTAAAAAATTTGATAGAATTGTCATAGTGAGGACTGCTGTCAAGTATCAGAAAAGATAAAATGATGAATTCTGCCAGTCACAGCTAGTAATTGATTCAACACTGTTTAATGTGAAACTGAATTAAGTCTCAAGCAAAACAATTCAACAGATGCAATACATGATGTCTCAAAAACATGATGAATTAAAGTATTGGAGTAGTAAGTCAGATGTTCTGGTGTTTATCAGGAAACAACTTTGGATGCAGTTCTGGAACTTGAAGTGAAATATTCAGTCTTTTTTAACTTTGTGTCCTTAGGGGGAATCTTTCAGATTAAATGTTTTTCATAAGTCAAAGTCACTCTTTCCTTTTTTTTCTCCCCCATACATTAGAAGAAACTGGTTGGAATATCTCCACTTACCGCTCCCCTGTATTAGAGAGTCATGTGGCCCTTACAGTTACCCCATGTTACTAGTCTTGTTCCAGTATAAATTATGCCTATTATGTAATAGGTAATTGTCACATTATATCCTGGAATTCCTTGTTGTGTTTCTTTGATCTTTTAACTTGTAACTCAGCATACTTATTAGACTGAGGTATTTGATAACCAGTTAACATGATACTCCTCATAAATGTTTGTTTACAGGAGTATCAAGTAACCTTTTTACTAGGAGTGAACATGATAATATGGCTAGTCATCATTAACAAACAGTAGTATACTATCAACAATAATGTTGTATTCAAGTGATAGAGGTTACTTCATACTTTTGTATGCTTATTTGGAGATTAAGCATGGTTGTATTTGTTGTTAAATTTCAAGGAGTTAATTATGTCTCAGAAGCCATATTTTATCTGAAGGGACTATATTCTTATGTTAAATAGGTATATGCACTGTGTCTTCTAGCACAGAGGAGGCTGTGTTAATAAGTGGTATTTAAATATGTGTCTTACGCATGTAGATAGGTGTTTTGATTTTTTCAACTGCTTATAATAACTTCCAATGTACGTATTTTGGAAATTTTGGGGAGATTAGATTAAGCTTTCCAGACACTGAAATGGCAGCATGCATTTTTTTAACCCTACTTTTTTACCTTAGTAGGTTGCTGTCTGAATTTAATTCATTCTGGAGATAAATCTAAAATTTGTAGCTTGAAGCTTACTGTATATTAAGATAAACAACATTGTGTTTTTGAAGTCTGAAGCTACAAAACAGCCCCAAAGCGTCAAAGTAATTGTGTCTGTGTCTTTAACCTTCTTTGTGTTCCTTAAATAGAAGCAATGAAAACCCTAGAGGGAAAGTTGAGTAAAATGATATTAGAGGTTTTCAGAGGGCACATTTCTGATTTATTTTTTTTCCCCCTGTACATTTCTAAACACTTCAGTTTGAGGGAGAAAAAGGTTTCATTCAAGTATTTTACGGTAGAAGTAGCTAATATGCACAGTATTTTTAAATGGTTACAAATCCATTTTGCAATCATAGTCTTGCAGTGGCTTATGGAGTAACGAAAGTATGTAAAGCAGGTAGATACTGTTCTTACAAGGTTTACATACTTCATTTACTTCATTCTTGGGTATTTCATTCTTGTCCCTGACAGGATGTATAAGGGCAAAAGAAAAGTGAAAACAGTAAGAAAAGGAAGTATGGTTTAGACTGAGGTCCTTATTTTTATTTTACTTTCCCCTTTTTGCCACACAAATATTCTTGGGTGATGCTGGGGTGTATATATGCTTGTTGACTGCCTATCAATCTAAGAGACAAAGCTGAGAACTTGTAAAATCTAAATAGGACTGTACCAAGGATCGTATATATTTCTATCATGGTTATTCAATCAGGTAGAGCATACTCTATTAATTCCCCTTCACAATTTATCTCAAACTCATACTCAATGAAGTGGTTGCCTTACGGATTGCCCTACCTCTGGTCCCAGTATGGATTTTGTCAAATTATGTCCTAAATTAATGTTTTTTCCACTACACTTTTATGGTTCTGTGGTTGAAATTAATTAGGTTTATGATGAAGATATTAACTTGCATTAAAGCAAACTCTTTATAACTATAGCTAGCAGCCTTTGAACCGCACTTGCCCTTAACTGTGATAACTACAAAAGAATTCACATTATTAGTGTTGTAGTTGCAAACAAAAACAAAACACACACCAAAAAAAACCCTGTCCTAATTTCCAAATACTTAGCGCCTCTTTAAGTTGAAGTACTGCAGCAAATCATCATTTAGTTTAGCTATACCAGGCAATTTGGAAGTATTTGAAAGTAAATTACTGATCCAGACCATTTTAAAAATAGTCCTTTGGGTGACGTGATACAAACAGTTTGAATACAGTAGTAGTGTTTCATGTAGCTGATGGCTTAGCTATTTTAAGATAAATCAAGTATTTATTTTAATAGATACAGTTCCTCACACAGTGTGGTATCTTGTTGATGAAAGAACTTCTGCTAGATAAGTCGTATTTGATTTTAAAAGCAGCAGCTACAGCTGGAAAAGTAATACCTGATGTTTTGATCTAGAGTCCAAAGAGCCCAGAAAAAGTGGAGGGAAGTGGCATGTAATGTTTGAACACATCATAGTCTGGAGTAAATAGCTTGATGTAACTTGTGGTGTAGGCATACCTTTACTTCTGCGCTATGGGGCTGCAAAATGACCTAAAATTTGACGTTTGCTCACAGAAGAGATGATAATGTCAACCTTTTGGTCAAATTGCAAGAAAAGTAATTGTATTGGAACAATTGAGTGACCCAACCAAACTTAATTTCAACACACTTCTGTTAACTTGCTGAGGAAAACTGACAAAACAAATGAGAAGTAGTAACTTCAGAAGAGAATAACTATACATAATAAAGGAAGGATATGTTACTTTCTGAGCTATCTTGAAACAGCAGTAAGTGCTTAAATTAACAAAGTCATTATCTTGATATTGGGAGCTTGTGAAAACAAGGACTTCAGTTATGTTTAGTCAGTAATGCGAACATACCCTGTTTATGTATGTTGAGAGCTTGCTGTGTTCTGCTTTATGGGGAGAAGCTCTCAAAATTTTAAAAGTTACTGTTTGTCTTAACAGTGTTTGTATGTAGGAGGAAAACAGTGCTGAACAACGTGAATGCACTCCGCAGATCTCTTTAGAACAGCTTGATAAAATACTGTCCAAACTTTGCAAAGCAATGGAATTGCTGGGAGAGAAGTTTGAAAACTAGTGTAGAGTAATTTAAAAAAAAAAAAAAATCCTTAATTGGGAATGTACTTTTTTCATGTAATTTCTTTCCCTGTGTTTCAACTAAGTCTTTTGCATCTGCTTTGAAGCTTATTAATCAGTCTTCATGTCACTGCTTAACAGAGAATGACCAAAGGGAGTAAAAAATGCATAAGTAATCAGACTCGCTGAGGACAACTTGATGATAGTGGTACCCAGATATTCTCAGGAGATGTCATTACACTTTGTGCTGACATTTGCAGAATTCAGAGGTATGCTTGGTTGGGTTTTTTAAGGTGGTATAAATAGCAGTCAGGCTTGGAGCAACTAATTAGGAAACAAGGAAGAGGGACCTTTAATGATTTTGGGGTTTAGTCCTTTGTTAAGTAAATCACAGTTGCAGTTTTGCTTAACTACAGTCAACAGTGAGCTTATTCAGTTCATCAGTTTCTTACGCTCATAACTTAAAATGGAAGGCACTAAAAAACTAAATGCAGTTACAGGAAATTCTAATCTACGTGTTCTGGTGGGTTCATATACATTTGTTATGGACAATAAATTATATAAGTATTGTTTTATCTAGCAAATAGTTGTCTTTTTTTCTTCTTTCTTTGTGATCTGTTAATAGGCTGAAGTAGTATCCACTCTTCTTTCATTTTTTTTGACTAAAACAGTTGAGCTCTTTTTTTTTTAAGGTGATACTCTACAGCACAGTATGCATGTGTTAGAAATCCTTATAGGCTTGTTTGGGGTTAGCTGGTAAGTCTATTTGACTCTTTCTAAGGCTAGGCAGAGAAACTGTCTTTTTTCCTAAAACCACCATGGCAGTGTTAGTATACTGGTGTCCTGAAATGGTTATTACTTCCAAGAGTTACTGTTTTCTTTCAGAGCTATATCAAAAGAAGTCCACAGTGCCTTCTGTAACATAGATACAATTTAAGTGTACTCCCACTGTCGTCATCACCCATGTCACTAATCTCTGTGCCTCTTCAGTTTTGGGCAGCTTACCTGAATGGGATGTTTTAGCCATTTTGTTCAATATCATACTATTAAATGTCAAAATTTGAAATTCTAACCTTTAGTTTCTCACTATGCAACTTTACCTACATGTCAACTGAAGTATAGTATCCTAATATCATGTCCTTGTTTTTCAAAGGTATATCACACTAATAGTTTACAATCCT